TCTTTGAGCGATGGTTATCTTGTGCTAACTCTCACGTGCACATACACATCATGATGGATGATGTGTACATTTACCCCACACACAATTTATTTCGCTTGTGTCTCTTTTGTGTAGGTACCCATGAATACTTGTCAACCTCGCAATCCCACGAGTTGACAAAAAGAGCTCTAGAGAGCAATGATGACTTGGGATCCCATGGATTGTCTTTCCCACCGCTCTCTTCACGCATTTCTTCTGCATGACCCTCACTTGGCTATGGGTTATTGTCCATTACATATTCTATTCCCATCTTTCCATGTTCACTTTGCATGATATGTTCATTCCTATGCCTTTGACATGCATTTGTGACCCATGCTTTGCATTACACATGATTATTGATTCTAATACTTGTATGTGTATTTGCAAGCTTGGTGGAGATATTGCTTGTTATGGACATGTTTGCTTTGTGACCCATGCCTATGATGATACTATGATATTGCTTTGTGTTCGTGCTTGCGATATGTCATGTGCATTGCCTATGCCTATTATTTGCTCTCCTGACATGATTGCCATGATTTACTCTAGTATGTTGCATCTTCACACTACTAGCTTGCACGACTTGATTACTATGATTGCTTGCCTTGTTGCATCACCGATGATTCATACTTGCTCGCTTCATGCGGTTGATGACAACCATCTACATGCTTTGCACTACATGATTGTTATTGCTTCTTATCATATATCTCCATGTGTTGCTTCTCTCATGTTAGACAATTTGCCATGTATTGAGTGCAACAATGATTCTAATCTTGCTCATGAGATTGCCCCCATAGCATTCTCACATATATTTGGAGATTTTGACATATTTCTTGTGAAGCATGCTTGCCTTGCTTCTTTGCACCATATACCTCGTGCCATGAATATTGCCATTGTTGCATCATATTGTTCATGCACTTGTGCTTCTAATGGTTATGTGCAAGAGAAGAGAACCATCATGATGGATGATATGTTTATCTACCATGCACATACATTCTTTCTTTTGTTGTGTGCATGTGTAGGATACTTGGACTTCGTGTCAACTTCCACGTCACGTGAGTTGACAATCCGAGCTCTTGAGAGCGAACCAACTTCTACCACGACGATTCTACATCGCACTTGCTTGTACTTCGGCATTGTGAAGGACGCACAAGGACACGCCTACAAGGTGACATCTTTCTTGAGCATGGATATGACGGATCATACTACTTGTGTTGCTTGCACCATGAGACTTATTGTTCATCTTGGACCACTTGATTGCACACATGTTAGAGATCTTGCTTCGACTTGTCATTTTCACTGTTCCGTGCATCATGATATATGTGCCTTGTGTGTTGCATCCAATTCTTGGATTACTTGCTCCTCTCATATGTTTGGTTGCAACAATGTCATCACTTCACATATGCCATGTCCCATTGATTGCTACATGCTTGCCTTGATTGCCTCACACATGATGAACAATTGCTCTTTCCATTGTGTTGAGTGCCACACGATATTCACTACACCCCATGCACATTATGCTTGGATTGTCTTGCACTTGACCCATGTGTTTAGACACTTCATTTTATTTGGTGTTGTGAATGATTCTTATGCCTACCATAGACCTTTCATTGAGCGCTTTGCCCATGCTTGCTATGACTTTGAGGTAGATGCTTATTCTTTTGTTACACATATTTGCATCACTACCTCACATTTACATACTTGTCCCCATGATATCTTTGCTTGTGCTCGATTGATATGCTTACATGCCATGTCACAATCCCTTGTCACACCATATGCTTTGCATGATGACAACACTTGTTTGGTCACTCACCTCTTGAATGCTTGGTTTTGCACTAACGCTAACCACATTTGTTTTTCCAAGTGTTTGTTGTCCTTACTCCTTTTGAAGGAATCACAAGATGGTGCGACATTGGAGAGTGCCCATTTCGAGCTTCAAGATGACAAGTACTTGGTGAACGTCCACTTCTACACGGCGAAGCCATCTCTTTCCCATGGTGATTTGGTTTTCGATCCGAGGTCGGATCTTTCCCAAGGGAGGGGAGATGATGCGGAGCATCCTATGAACATCACCATGTCAAGAGTCCATTCGGCGGGTGACACGTGCGACATCTACTTCACATACACAAAGGTGAATCATCTCCTATACACGTGCTCACTTGACCCCTTCGAGGATGGTATACTACTTGACACTCTACTCGTGTGCATGCATAGGTATTGTCGGAACACTACAGACGACGAGGAGAAGTGCAAGCGCCAAGGAACAACTACACCATCCGCGAGGGAAGCCTGGAAGCGACGACAGAAGAAGACGGAGCTGCTGAAGCTACATCGACCGGACATCAGGCGCCTGTGCAGCCGCCCAACTGCTGCACCAATAGTCGGCCGAACATCCGGCGCCAACCCCGGACATCCGGCGCCTCCCGACAGCCCGGACATCCGGCATCTCCCCCGGAAATCCGGCACCGACGTATCCAGAGAGCAGCTGAACCTCCACTTCAGCCCGGACATCCGGCCGCGACCCCGAACATCCGGCTCGTCCCGAAGCCCCGGACATCCGGCCCCCAACCCGGACGTCCGGCACCCGCGCGTGCCTAACCGGGCCAAAGGCCTATGTACCCCCTCCTCACTTACCCTTCATGGCTCTAGAATATATATACTCCTCCACCTCCTTTTAGTTAGGGTTAGCGTTGTGATAGCTCATATTAGAGATAGAGCCTCGCTCATCCACACCGGATCTACTCCACGAGAGAGACCGCGACCCCTCTATGGAGAAGATCCACGTTGGATTAAAGACCTCCTCACGGAGAAGACCATCAAGACCTCCTCACGGAGAAGACCGGTTACCATTTGTATCGTCCCTTGTTGACTTTGAATCTTGTATCTCCTTTTGTGTACTTGGATCTAGCATATGTGTGATCGTTCTTGTTGGTTTGAGTGATTCTCTCGTGTTCTTCTTGTTCATCGCGGGATCCGCTCCTTTCGTGAAAGATTGTCCATCCAAGGTTCCACCCTACATCACTTTCCTATAGAAAACACCAGAAGACACAACTATTTCTTTTTTGTTTTCCATTTTCTGTTCTTCATCTGTAAAAGGAAAAAAATATTTGTGGGTAAAATAAAAAAACATAGAAGAAACTATGGCTCGATACCTAATGATATTCACAGAACCACACAAGATACTTTCTTATCGAAAACCCCAGAAGACACAACCATACAAGATCTTGTACGTTTTCTTTGTATTTCTTTCAACTATTTCTATTCAAAACCGTAGGACCTTTTTTCCCTAATCCACGCTCTATTAGAATATAACTATTTGTTTTTTTTGTTTTATGTTCTTCATTTCGAAAATGAAAACAAATTTATATTAGAATAGAACTATTTCTTTCTTGTTTTCCATTTTCTGTTCTTCATCTGTACAAGGAAAAAGATGTTTGTGGGTAAAATGAAAAAAAACATAGGAAAAACTATGGCTAGATACCTAATGATATTCACAGAACCACACAAGATACTTTCTTATAGAAAACACCAGAAGACACAACTATTTCTTTTTTGTTTTCCATTTTCTGTTCTTCATCTGTAAAAGGAAAAAAATATTTGTGGGTAAAATAAAAAAAACATAGAAGAAACTATGGCTAGATACCTAATGATATTCACAGAACCACACAAGATACTTCCTTATCGAAAACACCAGAAGACACAACCATACGAGATCTTGTACGTTTTCTTTGTATTTCTTTCAACTGTTTCTATTCAAAACCGTAGGAAGTTGATCTCTCGAGTGCTCCGCGCCATCGCCTTCTCTTTTCAAGTAGGTCGCCACCCCATCCTTCCACTGCCCCCCTCCCCCATGTGGGAATGTGTGAAGGCCCCGATATATCGGATGGACTCATAGTGTTTTTCGACTCACGTCTTTCAGGTAGGTTTTCGATAACTGTTACTTTTTTTTTACCCTTTTGACGGTGGTGGCAGCGACACTCGGTAAAGTATTCTCAAACAATGTGTTGATGGTGGTGACAACAAAGCCGGTCCAGCGAATAAATTCCCTCAAGTCTCTCCATTTCGATGGTGTCATCGACGGCGACATCAATGGCTAGACAGTGTATTTTTCTGCCAGCCAATTTGGCTGGTGAGGTTATGATCTGCAGGGTTTCTTGGCTCATGGAACAACCTCCTTTTTTAAAAGTATCAGATCTATTATAAAAATTCACAGGAAGTACAAAACACCTTAAACAGTATAAAATTTACACAGAGATTTCGAGACCATCGAACGAGCACTATTGCCGTTCGAATGAGCCGCTGGTGCGCCGTTGTCGTCACTCCTTTACCGGAGCCGGCTTGACCTTGTCGATGACAGTCGGGAAGTTTTCACATGGCTTCCTTTTATCCCGCAGCCTCGCCTCCGTCATGTTGGTGTGACCTTTGGTGCTGACATGATGCATGCGAGAAACAATGGAATCTTGGCTCTTAGATCTGCAACTCTTGCAGCAGTGACGATGTCGTCTTCAGGATATTGGATCGACAAGACGTGTCCTTCACGACTTCTTGTCTGCGATCAACAACGACAAGATGTCGGCTACAATGGAGTGGTATGCGGCGGCGCGCCATCGACCCGTTTGGAATGATGAAAATGGCCGATCCTTTGAAATTTTGATGTACCCGCTTTGTAAACAAAAAAAAAGATGTTTTAGATCACTAAAGAGGAACTTTTTTAGGGAACTTCTTTGTTTTGTTTTTGGGGCATTTGGTTATTAGATCCGCGTTCTTTTTCGCAAAATAAACAAATAAATAATCAGAGTGTATAGTACCGCATCAAGATTCGTGCGGAATTAACCTGCTCAGATTGCAGGAAAAAGATAGCACGGTCGACGATCCTCCGCCGCAATCCTTCTAATCTGCTGCTGGAGAGGAGAGGCCAACGTAGCTTAGTGTCGAAACATACCGACTAGCGAAGGAGGTGGTGGCTGGCGGCGGCAGCAACGGCGATGGGGATCTGGGGCTGGCCGTGGGGGCGGCGTGGGCTCTCGGGCTTCGGATCCGCGTCCACCGCTGAGGACATCGCCGCCGGCATCGACGCCAGCCATCTCACAGCCATCGTCACTGGTGCGTGCTTCTGCTGCAGCACTTTTTACGAGACTGCTTGTCCCTTGTGTGCTACTGCTAGTAGTGGCTGGATGCAGAGTCTCATCGCTTGCTGACAGTGTGCTGATTAATTAACAAATTAGTGATTAAAAAGCTCAAAATATCATTAATGGGATTATTTGCATTTGGAATCTGTAATTATTGGAGCTATTTGTACTGTATTATTTTTGAGTAAATAGTAAGGGAATTGTACAGTTATCATGATTTAAAGACAGTTTCAAGCACATTTATGCTCATTCCAAGTACAGTACAATACATGAGGCAGACTGATGATTCTGCACTATTGATTGTCATATGCAGGAGCAACAAATGGCATTGGCAAGGAGACGGCCAGAGTTCTTGCACTGAGGGGAGCAAACGTGATCATACCAGCAAGGACGCTCGAGAGTGGCCTGAAGGTGAAAGAGAGCCTCGCTGAAGAGGTCCCGAGCTCCAAGCTACATGTCATGGAGATGGATCTGAGCTCCCTCGACTCTGTGCGCACCTTCGCGGGCTCCTTCAACTCCTCCCATAAGCATCTGAACGTCCTCATGTATGTCATTGTAATTAGGCATCATCAAATATTCAAAAGAGGCACACAGTTTGGTTGGTACTAGTAAACACACTCACTGGGTTATTTATTCTGGCCTTCTCTGAAGAAACAATGCAGGAATAATGGCCTGCCCTTTCCAGCTATCCAAAGATGGCATTGAGCTACAATTCGCAACGAATCATCTCGGTATGTATTGTGCAGTTACATCCCTTTATGTTATAAATAAGAGCTGTATAAGTTTGTCACTAGTGTCATGACCGTCGTGTAGATGCCTTTGATCGTACACTGTTACCCATCAACAGTCATTCATGTAAACATCAGAATATCTGCTATTGCTGATGCTGCGTTGATATGAGATGTTCAGTAGTCCAGGCCTCTTCAAACACCTTTTGAATTTTTCACCTTGCGAGCAGGCCATTTCTTGCTGACAAATCTTCTACTTGACAAGATGAAATCAACTGCCAAGGAGACCGGTGTGCAGGGTAGGATCGTAAACCTAGCTTCAACAGCTCATAGAAGGAGTGATGGCAAAGGCTTTGATCTGAACAAGCTGAACAACGAGTCCAAGTCAGCAATATGCTATTCTTTACTGATTTTGTTTGCATGAATTCAACATAAGATCTAGCTGAAGTTCTTTCTAACGTATTGAAAATTTTACAGGTACAATGCATTTAGTGCATACTCACACTCCAAATTAGCAAATATTCTCCATGCAAATGAGCTATCCAGGCGTTTTCAGGTCTGCGATCTCTTACACGTTACATCCCTATTATTCATCATGAGTTAAGCCTAGAACACAAGCGCCAGCTGAAACCTGACAATGATTTTTAGTAGTCTAAGGCTCTAAGCGATGCACTTGCAAAATAATGTTGTTATTTTGTCTGTGCTGATGAAACATGATGCACAGTAAGGTAATACACATTGTGTCAGGCCTTAAAGGACTAAAGGTTGTTTGCTGGAAATCCAGGAAGAAGGATGTGATCTGACTGCAAATTCGCTGCACCCTGGAATCATCGGAACCAACATCGTTCGCTACATCACGACAAACAGTAATATCACTGAAAACATAACACATCGATTCCAAAGGAAACTGTTCTGCCCAATACACTTAGCAGTACCCCAAACCTTAAACTGAATGTTCTGCAGGTGTGCTGGCCTCGATTTTCTCGCTGGTCAAGCCTTTTGTGAAGGATATACCCCAGGTAATCGAGACATGGCCGTCAGTGTCAATCTCTTACAAGAAGATCAAGCATATCTCTCATTCCAAAATACACGGCCATCAGTATCAATGTCTCCCAAGAAGATATTTTTCTATGAAAGCTAAAATGATAACAGTATTTTAGCCTGACAAGACTAATCTGTTGTTCAGGGAGCTGCAACTACCTGTTATGTGGCATTGCATCCTGATACCAGGGGTGTGTCCGGCAAATACTTCGCTGGTTGCAACGAGGCGACGCCGACCTCCGTTGCAAGAGATGCAGAGCTGGCCAAGAGGCTGTGGGCGTTTAGTGAAGAACTTGTAGAAAATAGATCAAAGTGATGCGATGCGGTGTGCTGTGATTGTGTGCAGCGGCGACGCATAACTCCGCCACTGATTGTTTGTATATATGCATGTACTGATCGAAGAGGGTATGTCTACCTACCTACTGTAAACTGCCAAAAAAAAATCCGTGAATACGGAAAATCTTTGCATATCTTTTCATCGATAGGAGAGTGTAGAATACATGGTACAGGGTACAGAAGCAACTCGCAAGCCTGTACACATGGCTGGCCTGAGCGAGTTGCCGGTGCGCATGTAGTCTAGGGGCTGCCCTGCAAAAAAAAAAATGTAGTCTAGGGGCTGTGTTACCCCAATACACGATGGCCAACGTTTCCAGGAGAAGGAATTTTTTTGAGAGAAGGCCATCATGACTAGCTTTATTAACTTAGATCAAAATTATATCGTTCACAAGGCTATTGACGACACATGCAGGTGGTTCGTCAGTCCAACTATCTCACACTTTATTACAAAAACTAAACTTAGTTAGCTCATGAGGTGCGGTATTCGCCGCACGAAAACAATGCTTGAAGGTGACTCTCCCAATTGACGTAACAGTATCCAGACACTCCGCAAAGACTGCTGCCGATGCATCCCACCATTGTGTTTGTCCTGTGCAAAATTGAATGACTTCAAGGGAGTCTGATTCGGCCTCAACCCGATTAAAGCCTAATGAGTTTGCAAATTGAAGGCCATCTCGCATTGCCCTAGCCTCCATAGCCGTAGCATCTGAAGCACAATCATTGTATTTGCATTGAGCACAACCCATTGTATTTGCATTGAGCACAACCCAGAGGAAGGATTGCTAAAGCTTTGTCACCGGCGTGTGCCCAGAAGCGAGATTTGTCTTAAATGGAGTGCACCGTGCGCGCGAGAGAGGTGTTGAAGATAAAGCCGTACCCCTGTTTCCAGATTGTCGAGACGGTGAGAATGGTGAGGGAGGCAATGCCTTGGCGAAAGCAGCCGGTCAAGGTGGAGATGGTAGAGGTGAGCCATTTCATAAAGTCATCGCCGTGCCTCAGGGGTTCGACAGTAAGGGCGCGCCAAGCAAAGCACCTCGTGTCAAACTTGCCGAGAGAAAGCGCATCCGGCGAAAAGGTGTTGCGTTGTGTTAGACTCCTGGTCACATAGAGGGCATATATTGTCACGTAGAGGCCATGCCGAGCGAGACAATCTGCTTTCCAACGTCTGAGGCTCCACCGTTCTCCACAATATCTTGTTTCCAGCGAACCACAAGAAGATCGTTGGAAAAATAGAAGGAGAACACAACACTGCCAGCAGAAAGAGGTACTCTCCTTCCCTTATCCGTGTAAATCTTATTGGGGAACGCAGTATTTCAAAATTTTTCCTACGACCACGCAAGATCTATGTAGGAGATGCATAGCAACGAGAGGGGAGAGTGTGTCCACGTACCCTCGTAGACCGAAAGCGGAAGCGTTTAGTAATGCGGTTGATGTAGTCGAACGTCTTCGCGATCCAACCTATCCAAGCACCGAACGTACGGCACCTCCGCGTTCAGCACACGTTCAGCTCGATGACGTCCCTTGATCTCTTGATCCAGTTGAGCACAAGGGAGAGTTCCGTCAGTACGACGGCGTGACGACGATGATGATGAAGTTACCGGCGCAAGGCTTCGCCTAAGCACTACGACGATATGACCGAGGTGTGTAACTGTGGATGGGGGCACCACACACGGCTAAGAGAAGACTTGGTGTGCCTTTGGGGTGCCCCCTCCCAC